AAGGAGGAAAGGAGAACAGGAGAAAGGAAGAGGGAAAGGAGGGAGAGGCGGTGCGGAGTGGGGATCGGGTGGGGCATGTCGGGGCATGCCCTGACATTGCCCCATCTGTTGCATCTTCTACATCTTTTACATCGCCCTTAAGGAAGAAAGTCATAAGCATTGCATCAGCAGGTGCTTTCTTCGCTGAATGCTTGGACTCGAGGCCATATCGAATTTTTTCTGTGCGAACATTTTGCGAAAGTTTATTCAACAGTCATTGTGCTGCTGATGCCAGGATTGTGTCCGTTCAGCGATATGGGGATCTTCAAGGGTGCCGCATCGATTTCTCATCCTCCATGTCACTCGAGTCAATGGAAGGGAGTTCTACCTTCGGTTGGATCGCAGACGGGACCGCCAAGTTCCCTTGTTGTTGTTTGGGGTGCGGGATGTGGGGACGTCATGCATGATAGATACAGTATGTAACAGACTCCTCAATGTCCTCACTGCAGCTGAGAGGTGGTACTACTTGATAGGCTGCTGTTTCTGGCAGACTCAACCACCTTCTTGATTTCACCAACACTAAGTCCGGCATAGAGGCTGTCATCGTCTTCGCTACTCCTGCTCCTTTGATTGCAGCTGCGCAAATTCTGTATGCAATCGCAGCGGAATCCCCTGGTTACAAGCTAACCAAAGTAAGCATCAATTCTCGATCCTGTGTCACCATTAGTTGATTCATCAGCTACATGTAGGAAATTGTTGGTTCTTTGCTTCCACCATTCAGGAAGTCTTGGTGCAGGGTTTCAGGGGGTTGTATGAGAGAGGGTCACTTAACCATCCCACAATCGGTGCCGGGAAACAAGATGGCATTAAAGATCTGGCATATTCACACCTTGAAAAGCAAATCAATGACAAGTCGGAGGCAATTCTTAGATATGCCAATTTAATTGCAGAATCAAACTGCTAATGCAGGCTATCAAGTCCATCCTCGGCGCTGTACATAAAATATCACCATTGTTAGAAATTAGGAATGTCGATGTCCCATATTTTGGGTGCATGGACCTGCAGCCGCCAAAGATCTTCCATTATTCCTTTCTTGTCTTTCTTGTAGATCGACATCGCTGTAGGCTTAAAAGCCACTGGATGCAACCTTTTCTTGCTTCCTCAGTTCTACTCTTGTGAACTGAGGTGAGGTCTACCTTTTCTTACGCAACTACTTGTTACTGAGAGATCATGTACTTTACTTAGCACTTATTGTCCACTAGGTACATTAATCACATCTAGTTCTACTCTCCTGAACTGAGCGCTTATTGTCTGCTAGTTCTCTCACAACCATGTGAGAGAATAGTCCACATGCCATGCTATTCACCATTGGGTAACTGATCCAGTTTGAGCCAGAAATTTGTTTATCACTATTCTTCCCTACTCAAGTCTCCTCATCCACCTGAGGACTCCTTGCTCCACTGCAGCAGGCATTACACAAACATCTACATGGGTGCTATGGGATTCAAGGAGCACGCATATTCTCGAACGGTTTCACCAAGTTAGTAAATTTGTTGCAAACTGCACTTTTCATGGATTTCCATTAAACTTTTGCTTTGCAGTGAATTAATTCGGATGCTCCCATCTTTGGAACATCCTCAAGAAGATGGCATCATCACTCCAATATCATCTATCATAGGCATCTTGGATTCATCGGTATGCAGGTTATGCTGTCGGAGTCGTGAACTGTCTAATCTGTCCGCTAGCTACAGGAGGGTCTTATACTGCATCGCCCTTCCCCAGTTACCTATGATTCATTCAAAAGTGACCTGGATCCATTTTTCAAGCTCTCTCCAGGGAAAGATATGGTGGTTTTTGCATTGGAGCTGCTTGGACGATGTGCAGTGCTGGATCAGTTGCCAACGCTATGGCATTTCCAAGTAGATGCAGACATTCCTAATCTTCAACATGAGTTTGAGAGGCTGATGACGAAGCAGCTGAAGTTTGTGTGTGCCGTCATTGGATTATTCTCCTTTGTAAGTCGGGCAAGTCCCAGGATGATGAAATAATGAAGGCCCTTTCTGGCACTGTCCTGGCCCTTCTCCACTGGATTGCAGCAATGGGGATCATGGGTGAAATTGGCCAAGTGTGCCAAGGCATGAAAGAATTACAGCGATGGCTAGTATGTCAACAATTACATGGGTACCAGTGTATGGCTCACTTTGGTGTTTTGAAGGTTGACATTCAAGCAGTCAATAGTATAAGTCACATAATTTGCGACCTGCTCTGTCTAGTCAAGCGATCCCAGAGTGCATTAGCAGCCTCATCCTTATCTATACTTGGGAATAGCCATCCATTTATTCCCTCAGGTAGCACATTGAGTGCAACATTCCCAACAAAGTGCATCAGCAAACTTGGTAGGGAGCTCTCAGAGCTCTCAGAGCTCTGTGAGCAAATTGAGTCTTTTTGCTGTGCACCCTCTACACATTGGGTGGAGAAAATTAAATGTTTGAATGATTTTATTCTCCTAAGGATGCAGAAGTGCAAAGATAATATGTATATACATTTTTGGAAATGCATATTAAATGGCCAGCATCATTACTTGAAACACTCTATGAGCTCTATGAGCTCGGTGAGCTCATAGAGCTCATAGAGCTTTTTGTTTTTAAATCATGGATGGTCTTCATATCTCCATGAAATCTGCTTAGTTATTTTGGCACCAGTAGTGTAAAGATAATATGGATATATATGTGTGTAAAATGGCCATTGTCATTGCTCTGAAAGCTCTATGAGCTCTATGAACTCTATGAACTCAGTGGGCTCATAGAGCTCATATACCTTATTTGTTTATTGCTATTTACAAAATATGAGGAAAACTCTGAAATTCAAAAATTTGCACTTTATCTTTCATCTCATTTCTTGCTCAAAACTCAACCAATGATGATTCTATGTGAATTGGAAAGCACCAAAGTGTGGCAATGTAACCATGCATGTTATGTAGGGTATAAATCAGTTTTAACAAAGTGTTCCAAATGAAGTAAATTGAAAATACCACCCAATAAAGCAAACAAAAAGCTGATGTATTCTTCAGATATCATCCAAGCCTTTGACACCAAATTTCCCATGGTCAAAAAGCCATGGTTATTTGGCTCACTGTCAGGGCCCAGCCCTTGTTCTGTGATGGGCCCAGGGGGATCCTCCTAGTCGCTGGGGTATCTAGTCCCAGTCCGAGATCCTCAAACTACTGAGGGGGCTAAACCTTCTCAACCTCCTCTAAAAATGGGAGCCAGGAACTATACAGTTTTCAGCTCTTTGTTGACTTTCCATAAATGGCACCCCCCCCCCGTGGGAACGAGCTGCTCACCCAGAAAGTTCCCACAGTTGTGGCTGTGATGGTTTCTGGGTGAGTAACTTGCCCAGAACTTTCCCATGGGTCTGCATGCATGCAGGATTGTGGAATAGTGAGGGGCTGTGCCCTGACACTCACCAAAACATGGTGGGAGACTTTTCTAACACTGAAACATACATTGCTACATTGCCCCACTTTGGCACTTTCCAATGCACATTGAATTATCAAAAAAGTGAATTAATTTTTTTTCCAATTATTCCTAATTTCCTGAAATATCTCTCCCTAACTTATCTCAAAATTTCTGATTTTCCCCCTGATTTTTTGGACATTCTCCTTTTTTAGAAAGTCCCCCATTTTCTGAATTTTCCTTAATTTTCCCTGACTTTTTTTCAAGTTTTTAGAAACCCCCCAGTTCCCCCTCATTTTCCTCCCATTTCCCCTTCATCCCCCCCCTCAATTTCCCCCCCATCCCCCCCTTCGATTTCCCCCTCATTCCCCCCCATTCCCCCCTCCCAATTTCCCCCTTCAAATTCCCCCTCATTCCCCCCCAATTCCCAACTCAATTTCCCCCCCATTTCTCCCCAATTCCCAACTCAATTTCCCCCCCATTCCCCCCCATTCTCCCCTCCAAATTTCCCCTCATTCCCCCCCATTTTCCCCCTCCATTTCCTCCCTCATTTTCCCCCTCATTCCCCCCTCATTCCCCCCTCCAAATTTCACCCCATTCCCCCCCTCCATTTTCCCCCCACTTCCCCCCTCAATTTCCCCCCATTTCCTCCCTCATTTCCTCCCTCATTCCCCCCATTTCCTCCCTCATTTCCTCCCTCATTCCCCCCAATTCCCTCCTCATTTCCCCCTCCAAATGTCACCCCATTCCCCCCCTCCATTTTCCCCTCATTTTCCCCCTCATTTCCCCCCTCATCCCCCCTCCAAATTTCCCCATTTCCCCCCTCATTTTCCCCCCATTTCCCCCTTTAATTTTCCCCTCATTCCCCCTCCCAATTCCCCCCTCATTTTCTCCCTCATCCCCCCCAATTCCCCCCCATTTCCCCCCCACTCATTTTCCCACTAATTTTCCCGCATTTTCCCTAAGTAATTTCAGATTAACTGCATTTATATCCCTAAATTTGGCTTATATATTGATTGGGCTACATACCCTTGGTGTCTGGTGCTGCATTGGTGCTGAAAGTGAAGCTGAGTTTGTTCAGTCCCTTGTATGGTAGGGACTTGGCTATGGCTAGTCACATGATGCCATAGTCAATGCTTTTAAATTTTAATTTTAATATCGGGTAAATTAAACACTCAGGGAGCTCATATAGATAATAGTCCCCTGTGTGCAAATATAGCTCTATGAGCTCTCAGAGCTTTGACTACTTTTCGGAGCTCTCAGAGAAGGGGACCTGCAATTTCAAAGTACTGAAGCTCTGAGAGCTCTGAGAGCTCTATGAGCTCTCAGGCCTCCGCATCCAGGTTTGCTGATGCATGGATATGACAGCAGTGCACGGAGTTGTCCCCACAACATATAGGCCTTGCTCTTGATCGTGGTCCCTCACAATATCCTCAACATCCTTAATGTATAAATAAAATGAGTGTGATTGTAATACAAAATGGCAGGCACGTTGCATTGGCAAGTGAATAAATACATGGGCCCGGGCAGTTGGCTTATCATGAGGAGGGGGCAGTGGAATTGATATCATTCCTGACAAGAACTCCTATGTGACACTGAGGTCTTTGTCGAGGCAGGATCTTCTTCAGTATGGGCCCGTGCTTGCCCTTTAACATCTCGCTCTGCCTTAGGGTGTTCATCCATGGGGCTGGGAGACTTAAGTACTGGCTTGACGTCAGAGGGTGCGTCCTTGGGGTCTCTGGGGATCACAGTGGGTGGTTGGAATTTGCATGTAGCGCCAACAAACTTCTTGACAAAGTCTTTGTCTATGTCCCTAACCCGATGGGTCCACTCATTGGTCTTGATGACCTTCTCCGTAAAATGCCTTACAAGTGAAGTCTTAGGCACTGATACTATGGCTACAGGCCTAGTGAGACTATCGGCGGGTGGTGCAGCCTTCTGGATGGGTGGCACCACGGGAGTTGACCCTAGGAATGGCAACGCCATTCTTCTAGGTGCTGTCTTGTTGTCTACTAGCGCCATGGACTGGTCTAACTTGGCTTGGAGCTCACATATAGTGCACTCACTATCTGTCTCTTGCTGACGGATGAGGGATAGTCGGAAGGCGCGTCTGCCTTCTTGAAGTCTTTCGCAGCTGGGTTCTGGTGGGCAGCGTCGATAGCATCCTCGACTCCTACAGTGACGTGTGTGTGGTGCATTAGGGTTGCTGTAGCCCATGGAGCACTCAAAGGGAGGCAGGGGGTAATGGTTGATCTCGCATTGAGTTATTTTCGAGGAGGTTTTGTCATTAGTTGGGCCACTGGTCTCAGTGGTGGGAGCGGCAACAAGCATGGGGCTTTTGTCCGAGTGTATACCTCAATAGTCAGCCCGCCCAATAATAACCTGACTTCTAACTTATGCTCAGGATCACTTCGCGTGTAATAAGAATTTTGAAGAATATAAGAGCCCTTCCTGCCCCAGGATAGCCAACAAAACAGGTCAGGGGGGAAAGTATTCAGGTCACCATCTTCCTTAAGCTGAGTGGCATGGCGGGAATTCCAAAATTGGGTGTCCTCATCGATGAACTTCTCGAATTCATGTTTGTCTTGGCTTGGATGGAACCTCAGGTCTGGATTCTCGGCTCTGGCATGCATGCACTCGTATTTCTCCTGCCAATACTCAGCTAGCTTCTCACCCTTGAGCTCCCAGGGCTTGGGCGGAGTCAGGTGTCTAGGCTTAGTGGCGTAGGACGTATAATTTGCCTCGTTGTCTGGTTCCTCATAACCTTCAGAAAGCTTAACGGGTTCTCGGATTATTGACTCTTCACCATCTAACTCTTGCAACACAAGGGAGCCGCTGCGAAGTCTCTTGTCTACCATATGCAGTCCGAACCATCATGGCGTTCACAGCCTTCTGGCAGGTGTATGACTTCAGTGACTTCGGCATGGACAATGGGCTTCTCTTGAGCGGTTAAGAAGTTAACAAGAAAACAGATTTCAAGTCCAGTGAAAGACTTCGGCGCAATGCGAGCTATCATCGCTGCCTCCGTTGATTCAGGCTTGAAAACGGTGCATCCAGTCTCTGAGTTCTGAGCGATTACAGGCAATGACTCTGCAACAACGGGCTCATGATGCATGCACGGGAAATCTTGTGCTGCAGCCATTCCCTTAGCGGTATCAACATGCTCGACAATTCCCGCGGAATTTGGACCAGACAAAGCCAAAGAACCTCCAGCAGCTCTTGAATCCTCAGTATGGGCTGCTTTACAATCTTCTAGAACATAGTCAAGGCCGTCAGGCCTTGGCTCTTTAAGCTTTTGCTCCAGTAGTGCAGTCAAGGATGTCACTCAGGTTGCCGGCTCAGGGCAATTTGAGGCATATACAAGACCAGAATCGCGCATGGGGAATGGAGACAACTATGCCCTTAAGTTAGCGTCGGCTCAAAGAGCCGACTCGCTCCTCTCTGAAAAGCAAATCGTCACTGAGCTGGTAGACGAACCAGTTCGTCGATTTAAGACTGAGGGGCAGTTGCCTCTCCCAAAGCCGGAGACTGATATAGTCCCGGCAAAAATAACAAAGAAAAACCCGCCTATGTTCGATGCAAAGTTCAGACTTTCGTGTGAGGCAGGTAAATACCCTACCGATCGGAGTGCCGACTTATGTCGCACCCTGACTGGTCTCGTTGAGATCAATGGGACCAAAGCTTTCACATTGTTCGATAGTGGGGCAGAGACTGACACGTTATCCCCTGACTTTGTCAGAGCATGTCACATCCCACTCCTTGAACTTCCCAATCCCCTCGTGCTCCAAATGGGCACCAAGGGGAGTAGGTCCTGTATTTACTACGGGACCAATGCTGATCTGACCATACTTGGTCAGAACACTACTTCGATGTCGTGAACATCGAACGTTACGATGCTATTCTAGGTGCTCCATGGTTGAACACCTACAAAGCTTTGCTGGACTTTGGCAAGCACACTGTCCATGTGAAGGGCGGTCTCCACTTTCGACATTCCTACGGAACGTTCCTTCATGTCGACTGGCTGCCAGGCCCATTGAGATTTCATTAGCCTCTCTAAGAGGCCTCCACCCACAAGCAGCTGTGTGTCTGCTTCGAACAACACACCCAAGGTGTGACTCAATAAGGTGAAGGAGACTTCACTGCCCAATCACTCCTCTAGGGAGGAGCAGGGTCTTCATAGCATATCTGCTATGAAGGCCATGTCCAATGTGTCCACAACAGATGCATTAAGTTACCTGGCTCACTGGCCTGATCCCCAGTCTGGTGTCAGGGGACGACTCCCGGGTCCCCATGACCCTCCCCTATGCCCCACAGCCTCAGGTCTGGCCAGCCCTATCCAGGGCACAATCTACTGTGGGTAAGAAGATGAGAAGGAAGCTAACTTCTCATCTTCCCACAGTGGCCACAATATCAGCAAAACTTCTGGGGATACCCGGAAGTCACATGAAGGGGTAGGAACCGGGCCTGGAGCATGTGGCGCACGGAGCGTGCATGCGTGCAGGAAGCGCGGCAGGTGGGAGCAGGTCCGGACGCGGGTCCAGGTCCGGGCTAGTCAGGGTGTGTGCCCTGACATCTGGGAAGTTACCAGACTGTTCTCATCTCGAAAATTGCCCAATGACAGACGATGGTTTTAGTGCCCTCCACAACTGGTGGAGGTCGCGATTTGAGGATGTCATGGCGCCTGTGCCTGTGCCTGAGATCTTACCTCCCTTCTGGGAGGTTAATCACAGGATCGACTTTATTGATCCCAATAAAAGGTATCATGAGAGGCACACAACATGCCCCCAATCTCTCGAGCAACAGCTACGAGAGAAAACTCTTCGATATGAGCATGTGGGCTGGTGGGTTCGCCAACCAGCCATTATGGCATGCCCATTACTATGTCAGGATGGTTCAATAAGAACCATTATTGATGCAAGGAATCATAATGCAAATATGATTCTCGATGTCACACTGATGCCTGACATGCGATCCATTATGGATAGCTTGGCCAGGAATTCATATCGATCAAAGATTGATATGACAGATGCTTACAAGCAAATTTGGATGGAACCTGAGTGTGTTCTGTGCACTGCATTTGCCACTCCTTGGGGCACGTACATTTCAAACGTACTCCAACAAGGGGACTGTAATGGTCCCTCCACATTCCAGCGAACTGTGTTGTGGGTCCTCCGAGATAATATCAGGTGGGCTGTTCACACATGGTTTGATGACATATTTATGGGAACCGATATGGTTTCCGAACACAATGAGAAACTTCAGTGGGTGCACAACCGACTAAAGTCTGAACAGCTATACATTAGCCGTAAGAAATTCAAACCGTTTGCCCCAGTTCTCGACAGATGCAAGGTTGACGGCCATGGGGTCCACGTGGACCTGATAAAATGGTGAAGCTTCGCACTTGGCACGAACCTTCAGACCACAGGGAAGTGCTACGCTTTGTAGGCCTAATAGAATACCTTGCTCAATTTATGCCTAATGTTAGCGCATACACTGGTCCTTTGCAGACCATTTTCACTAACAATCTGCCTTTCTTCTGGTCGCCACTGCACCAGAAGTGTTTCGATAACATAAAGAACCTCACGTGCAAGACGCCGATTCTAAAACCAATCATCTGGCAAGTACCAGATGGCCTCTCTGAACAAGAGAGGAACAGGTTTTGAGTCTGGGTTATTACCGACGCCTGCCCTGCAGGCATTGGGGCTATTTTGGCTCAGAGTGCCAGCTGGGAACTATCCCGCCCAGCTGCCTTCATGTCGAAGAAGTTTACTTTGACACAACGTTCATACTTCGCATATGAACTGGAAGCCCTGGGTGTTTTGGAAGCCCTATCCAAGTGGATGGATGAATTAACTGGAGGGCATGAATTTACGGTTGTTACAGACCATAAAGCCCTCACCTACTTCAAACAGAAGCAGCACACTTCTGGGCGCCACATAAGGTGGCAAAACCTCTTCTATGGCTTCAAGTGCGACATCTTGTATGTCGAGGGCCATGAAAACAAAGTGGCTGACGCACTCAGCTGCTATTACAAGTCTTCGTTGGACGAAGACCTTCATTATGACGACTTTGTCTCTGCAGATGTCCACATAGACAAATTTGGAGATGACCTCCCTCTAAGTTGTATTGAAGAGGCAGAAGAAATGCTTCTTCTGCACCGACTTTCGTTACGACTCACTATGGCAAGTAGTGTGATCGAAGACCGCGACTTGGAAGCCACGGTCCTAGACCCCCCCGACAATTGTTCAGGGAGGAGTGAGCTGATGCTCGCTGACATTGTACTGCCTGAGGATTCCCTCAGGAGTGTTGTTGAGGAAGATGACTTCCTCTCCTCTGTGAGAGAGGGGTACACCGAGCATGCAGCTTGGTGAGGGATTCTAGAGAATCCCGGACAATTCCCAAGATTTAAGGTCGAGAGCAGCCTTATTTCAAAGTTGAATGACTTGGGAGAATCACATCTGGTTCTCCCAGACGTCATTCATAAAGGGGAGAAGGCGACTGGGATCGCCGTCCAAAATGCACATGAGATCCTAGGTCACCTAGGATTCCATAAAACCTTAGAATATTTATGCCACTACTATTGGTGGTCTACAATGGTATGGGATGTGGAGAAGTATGTCTCCTCCTGCAAAACATGCCAGACCACCAAGCAGTCTACTCGACGAAGAGCTGGGCTGTTGCACCAGCTGCCGATTCCAGAGGCCCCATGGTCCTCTATATCGATGGACTTCGTTGGTCCTTTCCCAGCGAGTCTAGATCATAACTACCTCTGGGTAGTTATGTGCCATTTGACCTCGCAGGTTCACTTGATACCTGTGAAAACCACAATCAATGCGCTAGAACTCATGTATGAGTTCTTGAAAGGTGTCATGCGCCTTCATGGACTCCCAAGATCCATAGTGTCTGACAGAGACACTAAGTTTACATCCAGATTTTGGATGGAATTACACAGGTTACTTGGTGTTCGTCTAAAAATGACGACCGCTTTCCATCCAGAAGGCGATGGACAAGCTGACCGAATGGTTCAGAGCATCGTCCAAGTAATTTGTGCAGCTATTTGGCCAGATCAGCATGACTGGGTACTAAAAGTCCCTCTTGCCGAGTTTGCAATAAACTCGAGTGTGAATAAATCGACAGGGTATGCCCCTTTCGAATTTATCTATGGGACAATACCCTGTATGACGGTGGAAGTTTCACCAACTAACCTCCCTGGAGTGGGCGCCTTCGCACAGAAAGCGTTAGATAACCTCCAGGGCGCCCATGATGCAATAATACAGAGTTGCGTCGAGCAATTGGTCCAAGCCAATCGGCATAGGCACCCAGATCCGCCAGGTAGGCGACTTCGCCTACTTGGCAACCAAGGACCTCAACCTGCCTAAGGGAAGAGCAAAGAAACTCCTCCCCAAATATGTTGGGCCGTATGAGATCCTCGAAGCTTTTGAGGATTCATCCAACTATACACTCAAGCTCCCCCCGGAGCTTCTCAATAGGGGTATTCACCCCAAGTTTCATGTTTCTCACTTGGCCACACACGAGCCAAACGACTCACTGCTATTCCTGGGTCGGACTGCCCAAGTCTTCTACAACTTTGGTGAAGATCCCAAACGGGAATATCAGGTCCAGGAAATCCTGGACCATTCCTGGGACACTGGCGGTAGCCTGTGGTTCCGCATCAAATGGGACCTGGGGGATCTCACATGGGAGCCTCTCACTCATTGCGATGAATTGGCTGCATTGGATGACTACCTATTGGTACATGGGGTCGATGCAGTAGAAATTTTGAATAAGGAAAGCAAATTTCCTTCTATTCCCACATGAGGGGCTAATAAAGCGCCCCGTCCTACTACTTGCTCCCAATGGACTACCCGCTTGGGAATAGTCTTACAGCCTAATTATGGTGCTAGTTGCCATATTTGGGTTTTGCCTCCGGGGTATGAACATTGTTCCCATGGACAAAACTTCTTTTCCCCCATCATGTCTGAGCAAGTGCAGGAAAATTTCGGGAGGGAAATGCCGCCCAACGATGACTGTGGGCAAAGCCCATGATTGAACACCACCCCCATGGACACTGAGACCACGGGTCCCGCTTTAGACAGTGTTCAACATACTTCGACGCTGGGTGCTGAGGCCCCCAGTGCCACC